TAGTAATATTACAAGATATCACCTACATGTAGAGACCTTACTTTCGATGTCCTTTACATCGTTTGAAATAATAATGGTTTGGAGACTGGCTAATCACCCTTCCATGCAGAATAGGTGAATTGCAGAGGACACATCTCATGGAGGCCAACTCATGACTGACCATGAAACACAGCTCAGATCAAGTAAGGGTTGACTTTTGTAGAGGAAGGAAAACCAGAGAACCCAGACAACGTTCCCCCCTATGGCCAGGTGAGAACTAACAAACTCAATTCACTCATGGTGTTGAGTCCAGTTGTATGTGTTATGGTTATTACATTAGATAATATAACTTACCAATGTTGACATTATTGGTGTGATACTCCCCCAAGATTCCATTGTACCGTTCGAATGAAAAACACCAGAAAGAATATACTGGACCATAATCTACGACACACTCACATAAGTGTCCATGAAGATGCATGTTTGGAGTGCATCTTTCCTTTCCACACAGCTCTTCAAATTGTTTACAAAAAGACATCAATTCTTCATCCGCCTTCTTGCAACCAATTGTAGTTATTACTTTGGAGCATAAGATTTGGCATGCATGGACAAAGTGTGTCCACATACAGTACTGTTCATTGGGAATTAAACCCTTTAATGCATACAAAGAGTACAAACAAACCCAGTTCTTCCACTGATCTGCTGATACTGATCTGATACACATAATCAGCTATGGCAATACCACGTTAGTTCTTACAATTTCTCTATTGAGGGATGGGGGTGGGTTATACTGATGTTTTTAAGCTTCTAAAATTGATGGATTATGGAAAATAGAGGGGGGGAAATGACTATACTTAAATCAATAATTTGATCATAAAAAGGAATTGTTAAAAACAGGGGCCACCAAAAGAATGTAACGCAGATCTGAGTATCCGAACTTGTATCCATCTCTGTCCATAAATAGACCTCTTTACTTTCGTGTGCAAATTGCCCATTTCAAACCATGTGATGTTTACATGATGCTCACTGGAGAAATCTTTCTTTTTTTTTCTTCTAGATTGTTTCCCTTCATATTGAAAGACTAAGAATTCTCCTGAGACCATCATGTAAACATCATATGCTTTGAAATGGGCAATTTTCATACGAAGGTAAAGAGGTCAAATGATTGACCATATTTTTAACTTACTTCCACATGTTCACTATCAGGGGTATCTGAGTCACTATCTCCAGAAAATGATCTATTACCTTCTGAGAAAAAAGCCTTATCTTCTGAGAAAAAAGCCATATCTTCTTCCTCCAAATTATGATTTGGTTGAAATTCATCATGATCAGGAACGGCATGTTCAAGAGTTTCTGGAATATGATCAGCGGCTAAATCCCGTAATTCTTCGTGATCCCTAGTAGCAGTACTACTACCTGTACCATATAATGCCAGATGATCATAATAGGTTCTCTTGCTAACAATTKTGTTGCAATGCTCACAGTGATAGACCTTATTTCGAGCAGGAAGACGCTTTCTTTTTCCTGTGTAACGAAAATGCAATTATAGTGAATAAAATAGCTAGTGAATGATAGGACTTCATTTTAAAGCTGCTTCTCTCCAGCAATTCCTGGGATGATGTACTGTATATTTTAAGCAAAAGGTCAAAGTTGATCAGAAGCAGATAYAAGCTTAGCCTACTTACCATGAAGATTTGGTTGGGATGACTCGCATTTTTGAGACATTCTACATGGCAAATGGTCGTAGTAAGTCCTTTTTCCCATCCAATTCTTACAGCAACTACAAAACTTTTTACTTTTGTTCATGTTTAAGGAACGTTAAAATGTATAATGAAAGAAATATACGATAAGAAAACTGTAGATAAGATCTGTAATGTAAGGATCAGCTTTCACAAACTCCTGCGTATGTTTGAACAAGCAAGGACTTTGTCCTCATCCGGTCTATGTCTGTCTCTGTCGGGATAAGAAGCACGAGTGTGTTCACGTGCACGTTGTACGTCATAGCATTTCGAAATTCCTATTGRATGAAATTGCAATGGCGGGCTTTTTCATTATATCAATAGATGCAGAATCAATCACTTCATTCTTTCCAGTTCTGGCTTTTTGTGAGCAGAAGGTTTTCGATTTGTGAATTCACGACCTCTTTTGTGTACTGTAATCCATAACTTACATCTCTAATAGTCATCATGGTTCTTTCCACGAGTTCTTTCTTTTCGGGAAGTGGAAATCGCACACGAACTACTACCTCGAGGTCTGATCGCAGTGCCTCCACRAATGATCAGGACCGGCGAGAAACAGTAGTGGTGAGTTCGCTGGAGTTGCGACAAATATTCGAAAGCATTAAGATATTGAGCAACACAGTTAAAGAACAAAGTGGCAAACTCGAGCAGTTGAACAACAATGTGAGTTTCGTGAAAGCTGAACTCATAAAGTTATCAACTACTGTGGATGAGATGCGGTCCGAGCTTCCATTGATAAAGGAGGCGGCAAACGAACAAACTGGCAGCCAACATTACGGACCAGTCCCTAAAGCAGTAAAGGTTAGACTTCAGAAAACATTATAGATTTTTAAAAAATCATTTTCCTGCTCGATGTGTTAATTTGAAAAGATTTGTTATTCCAGTTTTATTCCAGTTTTAGTTTATTCAATTTACTCTAATTTATATATTACTGATTTAAGCTTATACCCTGGATGCGGCGCAGCTTATATTAAGCTTAGTATCAGGCAACTCTTAATTTATTGCTTAGATATGTTTGAATATTATGCAGTAATATTTTTTATCTCTATTTTAAAGGATGCCGTTCATTTACTGCATAACAAGCAAGAAGACAACAACAAGTTCAAAGGACAGGAAAGGTAGGTATTTTAGCACTTAAAAACTAAATCAACACTGTCAATTTTATTAAGTCGCTATTGTTTCGTGCTCTTTGTAGGGTTGACAGCTCTCACAATTCAAGGCTGAGAAGTTTTCTAGTAACAGAGTTGGAAAAAGACGCGGATTTAAGTGAATTTTCAAAGCAAACGATTTTTCGTAAGTATTGTTGTTTCAAGCTCAYTTTGTTAGGCGCATWTTTTGAGAACCGTATAAATATTCAATTGCAGGACAATTTTTAGTTTGAATGATAGTTTCGACAGTAACAACGTCTGCCATCTTCAGATTTAATATCGTAATGCATATTGCACGAGGTATAAATACATGAATAAACAATAAAATTTAATGTAGCTTAAGTTAACTTATTTTCGATGAAATTCTTTTCAATAGGTGGTGTGACAAGATACTACGAAACTAAGCGCCAGCAACATCTGGACACTTTACCTGAGCGTTTAGAGGCTGCAGAAAAGAAGAATTATGAAAAAAAACTCACATCCAGAAGACGGAGAGTGAGTATATTAAGCTCATATTTATTCATCGAAGCAGGGCTCGAAAACTAACCAAAATGCCCATCGTGTGTGCGCGTTTGCAGGGGAGGGGGAGGGGTGATTGTAGAAAAAAATTCATGTTAGTAGCTTTCTTTCTTGCTAAAGTACATTTCATTATAAGGAGCCATCTTAAATACCTTGAAATCATCAAGATCTTTGAAAGTCGGTAATGCAAAAGCGAAATGAATACTGAAGGGGTGGACCATTAGATAATTGATGGGAGGAGGGCGGGGGGGTTGATATTGCACAGCCTCCTATCAACTATCTAATGGTCCATCCCTAATACAAACCTTAAGACTAACAAACCTTATTGACAGAATATCATAAGTGCAGTCCTTTTAGTTAATGCTTTCTTTCTTTCTCTCCCGCAGCTATTTGTCAATCGCCTCAAAGTGTGCGACGAAAATCARCAAGAAAGGTGGCAGGAACTAGATCCCATTCTAATGAGTGACGAAGAGGATGGAACTGGAGAAAATTCAGGCGCTTGGCTTGTTCGAAAGCCAATATGGCGAAGCCCGGAACTGGAAAATCTCATAGCAACACTCCAGAAAAAAGTGGACGAAAGGGATGCAAAAACCACTTTCAAACATCCCAAAAATAGGCGTGTACTTGGGCGACCTTGTCAGAGGCCTGTGCCATCTTCTTCTCCATCCTGGGCCATCCGTGAAAGACAGCCTGCAGCCCGGAGTAATCCTTCAAGTAATTCGTCGTCGTCGTCGTCCTCCCCCTCTCAACACTCAACTTCAACTCCACGAGCACAAGCAAGTACACCTCGTCTGATAACCCCTACTTCTCCCTCAATGCCTCGTAACGCTTCTTCCTCATCTAACAGCGGAAATTCGGAAAGSCAAAGTCGTAAGCGGAAGGCATCCAAAAAGAAACGTGACCATCATATRAATAGACRGCGACTAGAACTATCASACGTGGTACTCGCAGTTCAAGCTTCAAGCCAAGAGTATGACAGCAGCGATGAAAATATAAGCACTAGCGTTTGTTCATCAAACTCCTCTAGCTCCAAAAAGCGATATCGCAGAATAATGAGTGACGATGAAGACCAATTTGAACTTTAACGTCAGTGTATTTTGCATATTTTCATTTAATTGCAATTTGGCTTTAGCATTACTTATTCCATATACACGACTTCTTTGTTATAATTAAAACTCTTTTTAATTGCCATGAATTGTTCCAGTTCCATATTAAAAAGTAGATTATCTCATCACATGACATGTACTAGATCTGATATTGATTGATGTAAAATAAAATGATTTGCTGTTGAAAGAAAACATTGCATATATTTTTTGTGGTAACGGGGGTACTTTTATTAGATTTGAAACCATAAGTTTAGAGCMTAAAGAATCCTCAAAAAATTTAAATTTCCGATATTCATTGAGTATTAACCGAATGACATTAAGTGTCAGATCACGTATTTTTAGTAGCATGTAGAGTATCAGGGCAGCTTTGACATCTTATATTCCAGCACACTTCGAGAAACACGAAATGTCAAAATTAGTAAATAGCCCATAGTATTTATATAAGACAAAAATACTATTTTGAATTGCCTATTTAAGCTAAAAAATCCAAGGTTTCGGCCTCATTTGCTCAGGTTGGCTGTACCAGTCAGTGCAAGACGGATTTTTTCCTTGGTTTTTCCGTACAAACGTCGCCTGAGCTTCCCTATACAACATTGCCGTCCAGTACCAACAGTCGTCGAGGTTAATTATTTGATTGTTTCACGTCATGTTTACGGGCTTCACTCGAATCTTGGCATCGTTTTAAGATTTATTTGGCCGTGCATGGGTGTCTGATCGTAGTTCAGTCCAGCCCCATTTTTGGTTTCAGAGTTCATGTTCACTTTGCCATGGACTCTAGTTTTTCGTTATGTTTGATATTTTCATGTTCGCAGCCGCGACACGTGTGTTTGCATGATTAAGTTTCCCTAGTAGTTCAGTCAAGCTCTGTGTTTACTGTTTAGCCTGTTTAGCCCAAATTTTTATATTTTCACGTAGTCACTACTTTACTCGCTTGTCATGGCTGTACAGTAGTTATTACGGCTATTAGTTGTTATGTATTTATTAAACCTACATGTTAGTGGATTCGGCTTAGTTAGATTTTAAGGGTTAAGTATAACATGTTATGTATTGCATGCTTCGTTGGGCTGGTCGTGTGTCGGCCTTTAGTTAAATTTATTGTTCGGTCGTGTGTCGACCGTGTTTCGGCAGTTCAGTCGTGAGGCCACCTTGATCTCGGTTAAATTTATTGTTCGATCGTGTGTCAGCCGTGTTTCATATTCTGCTTGTGTGTCGACCATTAGCCTATTCAGGAGGGCCATCTACTGTCTTGCTGGATTAGAAGGGCAATCTAAATCAACCTCCTATAACCTGTTTTCGGACGGCTCTGCTCGGCTAGTGTGTGCATTTCCCTTGTTCAATTTTCACAGGTATCAATTGTTTACATCTGCGTTTGTTTATGGAGTTATGCGTTCTGACCCTCTACGACCACCCATGCGAAATGGCTGGGCTCGACGGGTCCCTTTCCTAGAACTGGTTTTATGGGAACCGGGTAGTATTCGAGTTTTGGGGAAATGTATCAATTCATGAGAAATGTTGGTAAAGAATGTATCAATTTATTACAGTTGCTGGCTATATGGTATTAAGTTTAGTTAGTGCTAGAGCACAGGCTGAAGGCAAAACTCGTATTTCCAAAACTTAACCGAGTGTATGAGGTGAATGGCTGCTTTGGCGGGGAAAAGCAGCCATGAAACAAGTACGCGCGGAATGTTATCCTGACTTTCTGGGCGTGATTCATAGATGAGAAGCATTATAAACGCCCCTGGGTCGGCAGTTTACTATTTAAGCGAGAAAATCCAAGGTTTCGGCCTTACTTGCTCAGCTTCGCTGTACCAGTCAGTGCTAGACGGATTTTTGACCCCACCCACCTCCCCTCCATTATAACAGTTCAGTCTGGTAGCTTAATCACAGCCTCGGCAAAACTCGTGTTCCCAAAACTTAACCGCGTGTATGAGGTGAATGGCTGCTTTGGCGGCGAAAGTGAGCGGGGGTCTTTAAAAATCGACCAAAGGTGTGGAAAATTTAAAAAAATTAAAAGTTTTCTTACTTAGCCTGTTGCGACGTATAATATTGGCCGCAGGCTTCCTGTGGAAGTGCTGTTTCGTAGGGCCCGGGGGGAGTGGAAGTGAGTATTTGAGAGAGAGGAGTTGACTGTTATAACGGAAGGAGATCGAGACTGTCCTAGAATCCCCTCGGGACAGCCATAAAATGTATAATTTAATTTTTTGAGTTTGTTAGAAGTTTATTGACATTTTGATGACTATAAGCTTTTGATTCTACAGCGAATCAAGTATTTTTGTGAACCTATATTCGTGTGAACGTGTAAACGATTACGAAGGAAATATGTGACTGTTGGAAGATCCACGTTGAATAAAACCTTTGAAAATACACGCATCTCGACCTAGTCCCGAGGCAGAGCCCTGAAAACGCCTACATAGCCCAAATGTAGGACCAGATGAACTATTAATGGGGAAAAAAATTAAAAACTTCAGATTTTTATCGTAGGAAAACGTCACGATTTTCTGTTTTTCCGGCTGAGGACTACATTTCAAGGTATTTTCACCGCACCTCACAAAAAATTCTATTGAAAAATCTTCTCGTAACTAAATCAAAAACTAAATTAATATTTCAAAACGAGATATTTCCCGTTACTTCTAGAGCTTATTTTTGAACATTGTCGATAATTCGAATATTTAACAGAATTTATAACTTGAGTGAATTTTCATGTTTGAAAATATCGCTTAACTTGAACGTCGAAAATCGCACATTGCTACATGCTCCAAGGCAATGAGACTATAACCAGATTAAACTACAATGTTTCCTCTTTCAGAAACTGCAATAAAATTTTCGGGCTACTGAAATGATAAAATTTCATGGCCTTTAACAGGTCAAAAACCCTGCTACGTAACAACCGAAAAATCATCTGTTAGCCATTTCAAAAATTCACCAGAAATTCTCTTTATTGTCAGTTCCCTTGATATGTAGGCAAATTATTTCCAATACAATAAGGAATAAAATTCTTAAATTCTAGAGGCAAAAAAATTGTTTAATGGAGTTTATATTTTCAACCGACCTTACTTACATTTCAACGTATCTGATTGTCACCGGCTCAAACTAGCACATTACCGGTTTATTGGTTCATCGGTACCATTATCAGTTTTGAAGGCGCTTCTCCTTGCTAAGGATGCAGCAAATAGTCAGAACCTTCTTCAGAAGATTATTTGTATTAGGGTTTTCCGATTTAGTGACCTTTTCGTCGATTTGGCAATATCTTTATTGCCATGCATTGTCTTTTTTTCTAAGTATTAGAGTTTTTCCGTATCCCTTGAACTTCAAGGGTAAATTTCAAAGGGTGAAATTTTTCATGCAAATTAGGCAAGGAAATTTATTCGCTTTTACCAAAAAAGCATATTCTGTTTTTTGTTTTTCTTTCTTTTTTTTTTTTGACGTAGTTGAATATTCTAATAATGATTAAACCCTTGGATTAACAATACACAGCAGATTCCTGCGTTTAATCATTATTAGAATTTTCTATTTTGCTATCTCTTTTCTTTTTCTTTGGCTTCTCCCTAGAAATAAACAACAGACAGTTTTCTACATTTATAAGCAAATTATTAACGCATGACAAAATATTGTAGAAAAAATTGTATAGGAATCAAAACTCAGATTCTATGGCTGACCCATGAACTGATTTCCCATTACCTTTTCTTTGGTGACTTCTTTTGGCGTTTAGTTCCAATCTACAAAGGATAAAACAAGGTTATACGGGGGCCCATATAGATAAAAAAGCAACAGATCGTACAACAGATTGAATCACATGAACGTGTTACCACTGATTTATGACAAGAGCTAATGTTAACCTCAGATCCGCTGCTTTTTTCACTATGATCTTCTACATCCTCATCGCTTACAAGTGAGTCATCCGAGTCTTTGGCGGGTTTCATAGCAGACAATGGGCCCTTTTCTTCTTGTTTCTTTGCGTGTTGCAGTTTTATCCCAAGGTCTTGAACGGATGTACACTCAGAAGTTTCTATGACATGGATTTTCTCTCTAGAAGAGACTTCAGGGCTGTTCCTATATGCAAATTAAAAATACGTACGTGTTAGTAACATGTGCACATCATTAAAGCTGGAAAATTGGCAGAGTTATCAATCAACAAACTGTAATACACCTGTAGGGTTTTACTCTATCACTTGTAAACGTATTTTGTTTTACCTCAAAAAGGTATTGACATTATTTGTCCTTAATTCAAACATAAAAAATATACATACATATCACTTACTTCGTTTTTCTTCTTAAACTTCCTATTCTGCTCTTAATGCTTTTCATCTTTCCTTCATTGCTATTAGCTTCTTGGTAATTTTGATACACCGGCTTTGGAAGCGACTTGCCATTTTTCAAAATGAACCTGGAAATTTCTCGCCAATTATTACCATGTATCTTTGTGGCCTCCAGATACAACAGTTTTTCCTCTTCGGTAATGCCGTCTTTTCTTAGTAATTTCGTTTCAGATTCTTAAAATTAGAAATAAAAACTAAACATTCATTTCTCCCCTTTACTTCATAAACTATACGTATACACATTTGGTGTGCAAACACGAGAAAGAGACGCTTGAGTTATCCTATCAAAGCATGTTTTAAACATGCTGTCTTGTAAAATTTCTTTCTGTAAAATTACTTACGTTTGTAGCTATTCTCTTCTTCCTGTAACAGTTGGTCTTTATCCATTTTCTCTCTCGGCTTTGACATACAACAAGCTGTCKAACTACACAGCATGAAAGACACTTCAAAATCAAACTAAAAGTATTCTCCACTTGCAAATAAGATCTGAATGCAAATACAAATACAGCAGTGGATGTTGACTTTTCGTGCACAAAAACAAAAGGTGACAATGAAGTTTATGCGGAATGTGAAATTCTTTTGTTAAAGCAGCAAACTTCAAAAGGGAAAAAATAATACGATACATGCGTAGTGTGATATACAAAACAAAGGAAGTCACATTCCACGCTCAAAGTTTGAAAAAAGGAGTCGTGGCAAAAACGTCTACTTTAATTTTGAGTTATAGGGATTAGAAGTGTTGGATGAAAAAGCTCTATAGCTCATACCATAAAACTCAAAACATMTTTGTTAGAAATGTTATATTGCAAAAATGAGCCGTTTATGTACTTTCCCGGCATTTATTGGTACAGTTAGCATGGCTACTTTAAATCTCCTTTCAGTAATTATAGAATTACTCGAAGATGAAAAGGATGTCTGCCCTTCATTTCCTGCACATAACTTTTGCATTTCKATAGTCATGTTACTGCAAGTTTTCTCAGCTGTTCAGGGTGTTTCTCTTCAAGCTGCCATTAGACTACTGTTTCCAACCTTACCTGGACAAAGAGATGAATTATGGCCTCGTTTGACCCGAAACCCAGTTCAGATGTGGGAGTTGACAGGCGAAACACCATCAAGCCTTACAAGAGTTGTTCAGAGAATCTCAGTTGATGCTGAAAGATTTATCCGCAATTCCCGAAACCCAAGATCGGAGAGATTCAAACAAGGCCGCTTGCTTTGACAACTCGTGACCGGATATTGATGCTTTTTGTTTGGCTACGCACGTATCCGACCTTTTCAGAACTTGGAAGTATGTTTGGAGTGGGTGCTACAACTGCAGCAGAAAATATCCATATCCTTCTTTTAATAACACTTTTTCATTATGAGCCCCTCTACATTAGATGGCCTAGTTTACGGGTTTGGAACAGTTTACGAGGAAGTATTGCGGATTTCCCTGATGTAGTTGGCATCATTGACGCCACGCCAATCCACAACGTACAAAGGCTGTATTATCGCCGCGATAGGGGCTATCATTTCCTAAACTGGCAAGTAATAGTTGACTGTGATGGCTTCTTTGTCTATAGCCAGGCAGGATATCTAGGTCACCTAACTGACGCAGCAAGCTATGCCATGATTCCAAGAATTGGTCATAACTGTGCTCTTCCACTTTCAGTAGACAGCTATATATTGGCAGACAGTGGATATCCAACAGGATATCCGCTATTTGTACCATTCTCACGTCGTGGTGAGAGGCGTCTAACAGCCAACATGCAATTGTTTAATAGCTTGTTGTCTGTTCACAGAGTGAGAATAGAACATAGAATAGGCGACTTAAAGATATATAGGTGTGTCTCTAGTCGTTTTAGACACAGGCGTTGGAGGATAAGTGGAGTGGCCAACTTAGTTACAGCTCTTGCTAATAGAAGGAGACGACTTTTCCAAAGCATTAGAAGACAAGCAGCACTTCGCTTGTAGCAAAGTCGTATTTTTGAAATGTGCTTTAATGAGCTTATTAGTTTAAATCTATAATTCAACACTAATAGAAATCATTAAAAAAATTAAGTAAAAATTAGTTTGAACACATATTGAAGATAAGATGTTGAAGATATTTCATACTTTGAAATTCACACATAAAAAATTCATTCAAAAATAGATGGCTAATTCGGCTAATTTGCATTTAAAATTTCATCTCTTGAAATTTACCCTTGAAATTCAAGGGATACGGAAAAACTCTATTACATAACAATAGAATTCGTAAAGAATAGAGGCGAGAAAAATTAACTTCCAGCATTGTTACCTCGATAAATTATCGAGTGTCATGAAAGAATCCACTCCGGCGACTCTTCAGCTTTTCAGGCAGTTTGTGCTAGCATTAATGTTTAATTATTCAAATGCTTGTGTCACGTCAATATTTATATCATAAACTAAGGAAAGCATCTGCGATACATTTCTTTAACAGGAATGGACTATCAAATGTTTTACCGTTAACAAGCTTTCAAGATTTTAAAGATAATGGTCAACTTCAAAATGCACTCTGATTCAGCACGTGTATATAATTTCCTTAATTCGTACTTTTCTCGTACTGGTGCTTTGTTTTATTTCCTATATCGAATTATTTGAGTGGTTTTGCTTAACCTGTGAAATAGTTCAACAGTCTATTACATATTAGTAATARAACACTATTTCCATTGTTTTTCTTAGTGTCTATTCGTCTGTTATACCCTAACTATAAGTTTCTGTTTTACAGGTTCAGTAAAATCACTCCATCGCTAGATTGAACCGAAACAACAAGATCATTTTATATTATAGCTACCTTAACCCATCCCAAGCCTTACAGTATTGATTATACTACAGTGTATTATTACATGTAGTCTGCAATTAGAGTGCCCTAGCCCGTCGAATCAAGAGTTTCCTTCGATTAATTAAAAACCCACAATTACTAACTACTATTGGTAGAAACGACCGTTTTTGTCTAAACATCTGTCCAGTGGACTTATAGATCTTTAAGTACCCTATGGCATGCTCAATTTTCACACGTAAACGTCGTAAATGACGGTTTGCCCTTTGTTGGTGGCGGTTTCTTGCGATTCTGTGAGGAGTCACGAGAGGAGCTCTCAATGGATAGCCACCGTCGGCAAGAATTCAGGCATGTCTTGGTAATCCTAGCTGACCTCCAAATCCAATGTTTGGGAGGTACCGGTAGGTGCTACTGTCATTTAGATGTCCAAGAAAGCCTGAAACAAGAAGGGTGATTATACCATCGGCATCAATGACCAACTGGGTTGACATGAAAAGGACTTTTTTGTCCCCTCRATAAAACTCAGCCTAAAGTCTCCCCGATGGGCGTCGTATGCGATGCGTAGTAGCATCTATCGAACCCACTGCATTTGGAAAGTGATTCCAATACCCCATAAATGAGGACCAAGCTGATGCAAAAACGAAGAGGAAGAAAAGCCAAAGGTATGGTAAAGTCGTGTTTCTTGATGCTGGTAGCGAATGTCACATAATTGACTATAACTTTCCTGTATTTTTTACTTTGTATTCAACAGGGGAAAACAGACAGCTAAATCGAAAATGTCGAGTATTTTAGAGTCCCTTCCTGCGCTCATACAGAATGCAAACTCGGCAGCCAAAGACCATAGCAGGGCCGTGAAGACATGGATGCAAATAGATAGTTTGACTCAGATTAACCATGCACCTTTTTCTAACTAACCTATTTAAAAACCTATCTTGAAAAGAAAGATGAATTAAAAATTGATTTAGAATTAGAATACGCGTACGATTGTTCTTTGATTTTATTGAGATTGTGTAGTTCCAGAAATTATCCATACCCCTATGGAGGTTTTTTTAAATACGTAGTACCCAACCGAAAATTCCAATTTTTTCCATACAAACTCTGTAATGTTGTTCTTTCTTTGATCCCTCACTCCTCAGAAATATTAAATTCCTCTTTGAGGGGTAAGGGGTGGGGTGGGGGTATGAATAATTTGTGAAACTACACATTCCAAATCAGTTGAGAAAAGGTTTGATCGAATTCGCATTTAAATTAGTGTTCAGTATTTGTATAAATTCTGAAATCCTCAAATAATTTTATTGATACCAATAGTAAACGATATGAAATAAAATATATTGTTTATAGACCAAACTGTAAAGAATGTACGGCTGAATAACTACGAGATTCATAAAAGTCAAAACCTCATATATCTTTGATCTCAGCTAGCTCTACGTGTGTTTTCAATCGGCCGATGACGTCAACTGCTACAGGACGTTTGGATTGATTTAGGTATTGCTAGTCCAAAAAAAGTTCCCATTGTTTTAATATGTACTGTTAGATTACTAGTATTTCGACAAGCAGAAGCATTTCTTAATAAAACGTTATGTATATAAAATATTTTCTTTTTCTCACTAAATTCCTTGTTTTTCAATTATATTACATCTCCAATTTACTGTCACTTGGCGTACTTACCGTACTTAGTGTAAGGATCGCCGATGGTATTCTGGAATCAAAGGTCACKAAATCGGAAAACCCTATTAGAATCACACCAGATATCACAGAATTTAAAGGACCTTCTTCTTGTTCACGCGCGAATTGTGTACCATAACTTCAAACAAGCCAGATTGCATTACACACAGCAAGTCATTGACTATGACAATCCACAATTATGTGCACTGGTTGTCATTTACTGTAGTATTGACGCATAACTAAAGATATATCACTTGCTTTCAAAATTATTGTTCTTCACAGGAGCAAAATACTGCTGCATTATTCTGAACATCGCGTTCACGGTGTTGTAAACATTGTCCAAAAGCGATTCAGTCTGAGATCGAGAGGAATTGTGTGTCCACAACAAAACATTCGAACAACGGCGAGTTTTGGAAACTCCGTTTTTTGTACGACCATTTACAAGTGTATGTTTCCGCATCGAAGAATTTTCAATTGTATGGGCAATTGATGGCCATTAATTCTTCTTTGCGTCCTCTATTTCTTACTTCTTTCTTTCTTATTTCTTAGTGTCAGGCAACTTGACAACTACTTTAACTATAAAAGCAAAAATAAGATACCACATAGCTTATCGCGGGGGGGG